TTAAAAAATTCACTATAGCTCTATAGCGAAGTTGAAGTTCAGGACATAAAATTCGTTATATCAAGGGTTGACTGTAAGTACTTCTAGTCAGGATTAGTAAATAATTTTGAGATAATTTCAAAAGACTTCAAATGATCTTATTATTATTATAAATTTCAAGTTAAATGATTTATAATTTGTCATCACTACTTCTAGCAATTCAGGTATTATTAAATTTAAATTGATAGATTACTTCAAGTTAATGATATTGTTTGAAACCAATTTTAATATGTAACTTAAAAATTTAGAAATTTTTTAAAACCTTTAAAATGTCTTTTTTTTTTTAAATCTAAACTTGATTAACTTAATTGAGTTTAGAAAAAACCTATAGAAGTTTAGATAATGATATTTATTATAAATAAATAATTTAATTTCAAATAGTTTAAAAGGCATTTTTATTTCAAGTCATATATTAATATTATATTCTATATTTCTATTCTACTAATATTATAAGATTTATAAAATATATTATAAGATTTATATAAATGATGAACTAATGAGTGACTATTATCTCTATTTTATCAATAACTTAAGAATTGAATCTGATTTTTAATCTAGTGGCTAAAATTGAAGCTGTAATTAATTTAAAAATTTTTAAATAGTTGTAATTGAGTTATAACTCTTTAAGTTATAACTATTTATGAATTTTATATCAAAATAAATTTTATAAGAAATTGCAATTAGTTGCAATTCAAGTTACAATTTATTGAGTTACAACTTCTTAATTATAGTACCATTTTTACTAATGATAGCTAAGTTAGATAGTATTGCAATATGCAATGCAATTTATAATCACTATTAATCTAATCTATTAAATTTTGATTAATTACTTTTTTACTTGTATAAAAACTAATACAATATAAGGCATAAGATTATATCTATTATAGATCATTTAATAAAGTCTAAGTTTTATCAATCTCAGTATTTATATGTTCTAATGTTTGCATCAATTAAAATCAGATTTATACGTATATTAGTATATATATCTATCAATTTAGCTATAATAAAATTTTTATGAAAATCATACAACTTTTATTTTATATCTCAGCTGAAATCTTAACTAATAATATGTGGAAAATTTTAACTATAAAAGACTTATAGCTTAATTATTGAGTTAAAATTATCATATCTTATAAAAAAAAGATTAAAAGCTGATTTTAAATAAATTAAAATAAATAAAATTAATTTTAAAGTTTATGTAATCTATTTTTAAATCAGATAATCTATATAATTATTTAGATAAGAAGTTTATAATTTAAATAATTAAGTAAAATTTATTAATTATCTATTAATAATATAATTTTAAAATATTATCATTCAATTTTTTTTATCTTAATATAAATAAATCTAATAAACTAAATATTTTTCTAATTATTAAATAATTTTATTTAATTTTATATAAAATGTTAATATTATCAATTATTTCAAAATTTATGAAGAAAAATAAAAACCATTAATTTATTCAAAAAAAATTATAATATAATGTAATAGACGCTTTCTTTTTCTTTTCTTGATATTTAGTAGTTATTAGACTAGTTTCTTTGGATCTAAAGGAGAGAATTGATGATACTAGATCAACATAAACAGATAAGTTTGTTTATACATTTTTATTATCAAGAGGTAATTAATATTTAATCTAGATTTTTAAATAGTTATTATTTTGTTTTATTTTTCATTACTTGAAATTACTTTTATTTTCTTTGAAAATATATTTTATTTTAATAAAATAATTGGAATCAGTTAAAGTTATATATTATAGATTAATTTAAATCAAAAATTTTAATTTTAATTTTCCTAGCAAACCTAACATATTATGTAATACTTTTTAATTTTTAACATTTTACTATTTGTTACAACTTTTAATCACATGATAGTATGAAAATATTTGTGACGTCACAAATACTAATAAGTCACAATCTATGTTTCACAAATTTGCGATATAAATTTTTTTTTCGAAAATTTTTTTTGATCTTCCTTTTTTGCCGTTGGGAAGAAAAATACTCAACAAATGGCGCCCAAGATCGATCCAAATGAAGTGAAGATTAGTTGAGTATCAATTAATGTTTTAATGAATTGATGTTTTGTTAATTTATGTAAATGGATTTAGAAAAGATCAATCATTTAATACGAAATAATTGTTTAAAGTTTACCTTCGGGCTACTGGTGGTGAAGTTGGTGCTTCTAGTGCTCTAGCTCCAAAAATTGGTCCTCTAGGTTTAGTACGTTAGATTTTTATTGTAATATCATATCTTTTTCGGAAAAAAAACAAACCAAAACTATTTAAAGATCAGATATCTAAATGAAATATTTTTTTTTTTTTAAAAAAAAAAAATAAAGGCACCCAAGAAAGTTGGTGAAGACATTGCTAAGGCTACAGCCGATTGGAAGGGTTTACGTGTTACTGTTAAATTGACAATTCAAAATCGTCAAGCAGCAGTTTCCGTAGTACCAAGCGCTTCTTCTTTAGTTATCAAAGCTCTTAAAGAGCCACCAAGAGACCGTAAAAAGGAAAAGAATATTAAACACTCCGGAAATATTAATCTAGATGAAGTAATTGAGATTGCACGTGTAATGCATCCTAAGTCTTTTGCTAAAAATCTCAAGGGAACAGTTAAAGAAATTTTGGGCACATGCAACAGCGTTGGTTGCACTGTTGACGGGTTGGCATTTGGTTATCATTTATTTGTTGATTTTACCTTAATTAATTATAACTTATTGACTTTTTATTTAAAAAAAATCAATGTTATTAGTCAAAGCCCTAAAGATCTCAGTGATTTAATTGAAGCCGGAGAAGTTGAAGGTAAATTATTTGAATTTCATTTTTAATTTCTCCTTTTTTTAAAAAAAAATAATAATAAATAAAAAAAAAATATACTAATTAAATTTAAACATTTTAGTTCCTGAAGAATAATTGTTTGATAATAAAATAATATGATTATTTCTTTATAATTCTGATTCAAATTTTTTAAAAAAAAATGAAAAAACATTTTAAATGTAGAAAAAATATTTTTTTTTTCAGTTGTAAAAGTGAAATGTAATCCAAAAAATCACAATGTTTATAAAACTTTGGATAATTGCATCAACGTAATATTTAATAAAATTATAATCTACATATAATACACAAATTTTAACTCGTCCATGAAGTCATATGCAGTATGAGGAGATATTTTATTCAAAAACATTGATGAATCGACCCAGAGTTCTAAATTATTTGCTCACGTTTAGTTTATTTGGTTATTTTAACCTGGATTAATTTTTAAAAAAGTTTAATATTACGATTTTTTGACAATAATTGATCCATCTTTGGATCTTGCAAAAATAAAATAAAGAAATAAAATCTATTAAATTTTTAACTACTCTGCATGATCATTTTAATATAATTTCAAATGTCCTGTAATAACATTGATCAATTCCACAGGTCCTAAATAGAATAATAAACATTATTAAAAAATTGTTCCTTAAATATCTCATATTTTAATTATGATAATACCTGGACCAATGCCAAGTACAGTGGAAGATCCGGAAACTACTTGTGTATGTCCAGCATCTCGAATAATTTTAGCACATAATCCAAATTCTTTTGCCTTATTTGACAATGATAACCTATAATGTAAACAGCAAATGTTAGAATGTTCATAAAATATTTAATTTTGATTCTGATAAGTTACTCACATTTCATCATAATCTTTAACTTTTAATGTAATTTTAGGCTGTCCTGAAGCTTCCCATGCTTCTAATAGCTATAAAAAGTAATAAGATAGATGATCTCGAATAAATTTTGACATTTTAATTTACCTGAGGATTAGATTTTTGCAATGATTTATAACATGCTAATGTTGCATGAGAACACTATAAAACGCGTTATTAGATAATAGTAATTATTTATTAAACTTGTAAAAAAATGGAATACAATTACTTGTGCTGCCACTTTTCCTTTTGTCATTCCCAAGTCATTTCGAATTAATAATACCTATAAAATCAAAATTCGCAAACTTAAAAAAATTAAGATTAAAGCAAAGAAAGGTTATACATGAATTATAATTACTAATTTAAATTCATCAAAATCATTTGGATTTATTGAGGATGATGAATTATCATACTATAAAAAAAAAATTCAATTAAAAGTTGTATAATAATTAGAATAATTTCGAAGTCAAAAAATATTTTTTTTAGTTTACTTACATTTTTAGGTAACTTTTTTAGTGCTTTTCCTAATATGAAGCCTATTAACAAACTTACACTTGCTACGATAAGCAACGTATTATTATTGTTCATTGGAGAGAATTAAAAAAACGAGGGAGGAAGTTGGTTGATCAAAGAACGCGTGGTCACGGGATATGTCACATCAATGAAATGATTGTGTCACGATTTTTGGAGATGATTTTGAATCCCATAATTCATTAAAAAGCAATTCTCAAAAATAAAAACTTTATCTTAAAGGTTACACGATTCTTAACTTCATTCAGTAGGAAACTTTACCTGTTTGTAGCAAAGCTACAACAAGTATTTTTTCTATAATGATGAAATATGGGATAATTGTTTTGTCTGATATACAAAGATTAAGGAAAAGTCCTGGCACTTTTGCAACTGCCGTTTCTGAAAAATATTGAATGAAGTTTTTATTGTCTAAGAAAGAGTTAAGAAAGAGATTATAAAATATATAACGAAAATAGTGAAAATCAATTATTATTATTCTTTAATATATATTAGGATTATTTAAAATAATTGTTTTCAATCACGCTACTTTAATTTATCTATTAAATCTTTATAATAATAAAAAAATTTTTTTTGATCAACAATCGAAAGTGACGTTACGTTATTGTTCATTTATCTTCCCACAACAATGTATGTCGATCGATCATACGTGATTTTAAATTCAAACGACTCTTACCCTATAAAAATAAAATTTTTCGATGGACCAAGAAACAGCGCAAGCTTTATTCAATCAGGGCGCGTTCTTGCTTTTTTTGAACGCGCCCGAAGGATTAGAGGTTGATAATTATTATCACTAAAAAAAAAAAAAAATTTTTTGTTTTCCTGATTAATTATTTAACATTATGAATTTTCAAAGTTCGGGATAGATTATAACTCATGGAAAATAGGACCAAAGTTTAAGGGATTGAAGCTCATTCCTCCTGGATTACATTTCGTATTTTATAGGTTGTTAAAACTATTAATCATATTATTTTTCTTATAACCTATTTTATTAAATTCTTTTTTCATAGTACTTCAGACAAATCTGGTACTTCTGGACTTAGAACAGGATTTTTCAAATTTTACGAATCAAAGGAGGTAAATTTGTCACACTTTCCTCAAAATATATTATTTTTTACTGGTTAGTTATTATATTATTTTGGTTTAGATAGTAATTAAAGATTGGGATAATACATTAGAAGACGTTAAAAAAAGTGAACAACTTGATCCGGAGCAAATCAAACGATTAAAGACAGGTAAATAATAACGTAAATAAAAAAGGAATAAAAAAAAAATTATTTTTAAATTGTTTACTTCTTTTATATAGACATGCGTCAATTCGATCCATTTTTAGGACCATATCCTTTATCACCGCCAACCAATTGGCAAAAATTGATTCGCTTAACAAATTATATAACTCCTCGTCTCATTTCTATTATCTTGCCTAATGACGGGAAAGTGACTAATATTTCATCATCTACTGTTGATGAGGAAGAGCTGATTAATTTAGGTGATTCGAGATATGGAGAAAGTGATATTATATTATTTACAAAATTTGATCTCAAAAAAAGTTGGAAACTTGGCGCCACAGGTCAAGAGGTTACAAAATATAGCCAAGATAAAAGTTGGCTTTTGGACGAATTGTTGACAAAATCCTATGATAATAGTATGTAATAATATTATCTTATTTTATTTATTTATTTTTTTTTTATGATTTTTTTTATCTAATCAATATAATCAGATTACAAAGAACTATTAGGAGAATTGCAGTTAGCTTTCGTATGTCTTTTAATGGCACAGAATTATGCGGGATTCGTTCAGTTTAAAAATTTAGTGCAATTGATTTGTTCATGTCAAGAAGCATTAGAAAAATATGCGGATACATTATTTATTGATTTCATAGGTATGTTTATTTATTCATCTAAAATTTTTTGTAATCCACTAATTTTAAAAAATTTTTTGTTTTGTTAGATGTATTAAATTATCAACTTGAAGAGTGTCCGCAAGATTTTTTTCATGAAATTTTGGCTGAAAATAATTATCTTATTCATTCATTAAAGGTAACTGATAATGTGAAGAGTAACTTTTAAGAATTCAATATATTAATTATAATTTTTATTAGATTTTCCGTCGAAATATTTTGGACTCAATAAATGCATCGTCACAACAACAGTCACAAAAGTTCCATGTTTTAAGACGTCGATTTGAAAAGTTTAGAGGTTTTCTTAATAAGAGATTTCATTGGGGAATCGTTGATGAAGAATTAGCTAAGGAGGAAGAGGAGGAAGAAGGGGAGTATGCACCGGTCGTAGTAGAATTGCCTGATGATAATAAATAAATATTGATAGATCACTCAATACTTTCATATACAAATTCTAGGAAATTTTACTGGAATCTTTTTTTTCATATCAATTAAAATCATTGTAATATACGTCAAACAAATGATCTTCAAAAGACCGGAAGATTAAGATGAACTGTTTAATATATTCCATCGGAGATTAACAACTTTATTTTTTTTAATATCCGATTTTTCAATACAAATATTTTTGAAATTTTAAATAGTCGTAGATATTTGATCGATTATAATGAAATGATTCAGTATCTTTGAACAATGTAATTATTTTAAGAATACGTAATTAACTCAATTTTTATACAATTAAAGTAAAAATAAAAATACATAGATAGTCACCATTGATCTAAAAAAAAAAGTGAAATTTAATAACTTAATTTATGTTAAATTTTTTGTAGTTGAGATTATGATTAAGGCAAAATAAATGTATTAATTATATTACACTATCAATAATTCAACCCACCAACATGTTTAATAATGATACAAGCTCAATGTTTCCAATAAATAATTTAATCCCTTTAAAACTCTTACTGCATTGATTTATTTAAATCAAAGTCAGAATATATTTCTAATATAGCTATTTTCGTATTAAACTTACTACTTATTGCCACCTTTCATAAATCATGGTGTATTACGTTAGTTCAATCCAGCCTGTCTTCGAACTTTTTGAATCAACGCCCTACGCATAAATTGTTCTCGTGCAAGACTACGAATATTCTTTAATTTAATTTTAACAAATTAGCAAGGTAAATAATAAATAAATAAATAAAATCAAGTTTTATAAGATATACACCATTTACCTTCATGTATGAATTCAAATCTATTCTATCACTACTCAATGCTTTGCCTAAATAATAAGTTGCATCTTCTATTGCATTGTCCTCTGCTATCAAATCAAATAATCTACAAATATATAAAAATTTATCAGTAAATATAGTTTTTATTTGTTTCATTCAATAAAATAAAAGATACCTAACTGATTATAAACTATAGTGGTTCCGCATAAAATATCATCAACCGATACTTCAGGCATATTTTTAGCTTGTTCTATCAATTTATCAATCTCTGTAATCTTTCCATTTAAAAATTCTGCCTTTTCTTTTATTTTTGTTTCCTTATCCACCAATTGTCTCCTTTCCTCCTTAATAAGTTCTTGACTCTGATTTAAATGTTCACCAAATGACATTATCCTATGAAACTCTGGTGATAATTTTTCAACATATTCTTCACACTTCTGTTTCACTTTATCATAAACTGATGATTGTAAGTTCACCAACTCTGGATTTTGAGTTGTTGGTGGCGGTGTAACAATAGGAGGTGCTGGTGTATCAAGTATACTTGGTACAATAAGTTGAGATTCAACAGAAATTGGTGGATGTGAAGAACCTCTTTGTTGTGGTAATGGTTTTTGTGACTTTACAAGTTTCGTCATGTTAATAAACATTAAGAAAAAAAAAAAGACTAATAAGTTAAAAAAAACAAATACGTAACTGCATAACGTGAATTTAACATAACAGGCGGAATATTGGAACTATGACTCCTCGGCCTATTCACGCCCATATTTGAGGAAGCTTGATATGGTGGTGGAGGTAAAGGGGGTGGTGTTGGAGATTGTGAAGAGTACGCTTGAAGGACTGGGGATGACAATGGATTTTGTCCACCGTTTACCGGTGGCTGTAATAATTGAGGAGGTGGTGGTGGTGTAGGTGGCGATGGTTATGATGTAGGTCTAGTATATACCGGTGGACTTTGAGCAAATATGTGTTGTAAAAGCGAACAAAGTGTCTTAAGATTTGATTCCTTAAATTACGTGAAATCAAAACAAAAAGGGGGAGGAGGAATATCAGAACATCTTAAAAACATTAATTACAATATATGATAATATATAATAATAATTCATACAAACCTCACTATGTGATGATTTCCAATTATCCAAGTAATGGTGAGAACAACGACCACTAACATCAACATATTGCGACTTTCTTACTAGCATACTAGGTGTTGGAACCACGAACGCGATTGGAGGAACCATAGGATAATCCGTTGGAATCCAAAAGGCAACCGGGATATTGTATGGTGTTGATCTATATGTGATTGGAATGGTTCCTTGAAGACATAATAAAACTTGAACCTTACCATCGTCGTAGGCTTGAAGGAAATTGAGATCACATATCTATTGTGAGAATTATATTAAACGTCTTCGGTCCTATATATCTCGATTTAATCTTTAGATATTCTAATGAATGAATAACTATAATTCTTTTTTTAAATTTCTAATCCTTAAATGGCCTTCGAAACTTTTAATAATTTTGAACTTTTAACCTCTTTAGCTTCAAGATATCCAAGTATCATAGCTAATATTTATCAGTTGATCAAGTAAATGTTTTTAATTACTTACTGTAAGTCTCGGTTTTTGGCATCAATGCTCTAAATATTGCCAATGTATCATCAACGTCCCGAAATACTCGGTCTGAATGCACATACTAAAAATAAAAATTGTTGTAGCGAAAGAAATCGAAATAAAAGATAACTGACTTTTAAAAAACTTTGCGAGAAATACCGAAGCGTTTGCGAGAGCATTGCGAAGCCAAAGGCGCGTATTACTCAGATCGGGATTCATTGGGTAAATAACCATATTATTAAAAACAAAAGCTTCTGATTGTTCCAAAGTTTGTTGAGACATTGCTCAAAATACTGTTTACTATGTTAGTATATCGATTTTTAGAATAGGTTAAAAGGAAGGGCTTAAGTCTATCACATGATGACGATATACTAAGATGACAATAATGGTTGGCCAGCATCACCGACCGACAAAAAAGCTCGGGCACGTGGTTATATCACCCCTAGGGCTCAAAATGAGTCAGAATCTCCCGAGTTTGGAATAGAACCGACAACTATCGTTCAATCAAATTTTTTTTTCTAATTGATATCACATGTTCTACCTGTGTTTTATTTGTCACACACCATTTGGGATGTTAACGGTTTGCATTTACTGTAACATGAAATCGTATCAATAGCGATCAGTTCGGTTTCGGATTTATAGACCGGTTTGAAATTATTGATTTTGTGTAATTCTCGTATGATTGGTTGTAATCGCTTTCGAACAGTACAGTTCACCTGACCGTACATTACATTTTATATGTATGTACCAACAAAAAAACAAAAAAAAAAAAAAATCAAATTTTTCATACAAATAATTAATTGCCCTTGATTTAACCTATTTTTGGTTTTTGAAATAGCTAAACCTGAAATCGAAAAGGCACTCTCTGATAGAACTGACGTTGATTGGATTTGTTAAATAATCCAAGGAAATTGAAGAAATATTATCAGACATATTTGCAATAAAATGATCAATGATCAATGCGTTTTTCAGTTACACGTTATATTTAAACCGGTCTAAAATCGGTTCGATTCGACTCGATTTCAGTTCGTAATCCTCAAACCGAACCGAAACCGGTTCTATGGTCAGACTAGTCTGAACCGTCCACACTTTTTTATACTATTTCATCCCCACGGACTTGGAATTTTTTTTTCGGAATAAAATCGACCTTATATTTCTTAATGTCGTAATGCCGGCCAAGGTCCCGTGGGGTGAAAAATCTTGTGGCGATACTGGGTTAAATTTGCCCTAAATTTTTATGCTGCCAGTCTCACGTGATGAAAAAAAGGTATTTGATAAAAAAATTTGCTAAACCGATGGAAATGCGTTCATTCGGGCTTCCCCTCTTTATCATATCTGATTAGTTTTATCAATTTATTAAACCAATCATAATTGAGTCATATTAGCATATACATAAAAATATGAACAAGTTACCAAGTAAACTAAGAACCTCCTCTCTATTTTATAAAACAAATCATAAAATTTTTCGTCCCCTTTCATTTTCAAAAATTTCTAGTTATTCTTCTGGTATAATTTAATATGTCTTAAAATGAATGATTCTTTATATTTTACTAACTTTCGAATATTACATTTAAATAGAATCAAAATTAAAACCGCAACCGATTCAATCTATTGCCCCTGCAGGAACAATTCTCAAAGGTTTAAATTTTTATAAAAATGGCGCAGACCCAATAGCATTACCTGATGACGAGTATCCTGGTTGGCTATGGGAAATATTGAATAAAGAGAAGGAAGAACAACTTCGTAACGATGTTCATTCAAGACAATATCATAGAAAACAAAGGAGGGACTTAATCAAGGATAATAATTTTGATAGAAATAAAAAGAAATAACATTATTTTGACTTTTTATTAGGTCATATTTTATTCTAACATAAATATAAAGCAATTTATTGATCATTGAAATTATTTACATTTATTTGCGACAAGTAAAAAAAATTATTAGCAAAAAATACTATTTAGCTTCGCTTTCTCGTAAATGATCTTACTATTCTTTAAAAATTCATTCATTCATTCATTCAAAAAAAAAAAAAAAAAAGTGTGCAATTCTTTCGTCCATGACAATTATGCCATAAACTTTTTTGGTTTTTTTTTTGGTTCAATACTATACAAAATTGGATGTTGATATAATGTTTTGAGGAGTACATGTATTATTATATTGAACTCGGTCATCCAAGCTCTCATTATATATCAATATAAAAAATTCCTCGACTCGTATGTACACATCCCGAATTGATTATTTTAGGTATTCACTATATTTCCAAATTTCTCATTTACCAATATTAAAAAAAAATTCTTTTTTTTTGGCTAACCTTTTAGGAATTAAGAATAAACTGAAGACTCGGGAATAAATGTTCGTAATTTAATATATAAACCCTGTCCTCATTTAATTCCGACTTTACACACTATAAAATTGTTTATTGATTTATTGTCGTTGATTCTGTAACTGGCATACCTTCTAGTAAAAAAATTAATAATAATTGATCAGTAATGTGTCCGCTATTTTTAAAAAAATTAATTTATGAAACAAGACAATTACCCATCGGTGCAGCTTCGGGTTGTAAGTAATGTGGTTCCATCATCATAGGCCTCTGACTAATCATCACACCATTTGGTGAAACGTGTTGGACCATGTCGTGTGGATATCGTATCATGGGTGGCATGGCTACAATATTAATATCAAACAAATAAGCATCATTATTAATCAAATATGAAATATTGTAAACTTACCATGTGGATTTTGATAAGGTTGGTACATTTGTGGATGAATAGTTGCGGGTACCATTGGTGTACGTCCAGGAGATGGGAATCCTTGTGAACCAAAATGTTCTATTATAAAAAAAATTGTCAATAACATTATAAATAAAATATCGGAATTCAAAATAAAAATTGGATTGAACACATACGTGGCATCACTGAAGGAAGTTGCGCACTATACATAGCTAACGTATAAAATATTTTGAATATTAATTAAGACCATGCGTTAATATTAAAACGATAGGTTATGACATATACTTACGTGGTGCACCGGTGGGAGGCATAGGTGCCGTAGTAAAAGGCATACCTGGGACAAACTGTTGATAGGTATAAAATTTTTTGTTATTAATACTCGGAAAATGAAGAAACTTTGAATAATAGATTATACCAACCCCTGGTTGCATATATGGTGGTATAGGAGCGCCTTGTTGAATTGGAATAGGTGGAACACCAACAAACTGTGTGTTTGGAGGATATCGGTATGGCCCTGTAACAGGATATGCTGCAAAACCAAATCCTTGAGTGACGGTGGCTTGTGAATACATATCTTCATCATAATTATTTGTAACAGAAAAATGATGTCTGAAAGGTCTTTGACCAAATGGCCAAGTTGGCGCTATCGTCAAATCCGAAACATTAAATTAATAAACAAATAAAAAGTAGCATCTTATTCAAAAAAAAATATTTACTTACGTATTGAACTAGGATTAGCTACGCTTTTACTTTTTTGGAAAGGAGTAAATCCGTCTCTGAGTGTAGCGATATTTTTCTTTAACTGCCGATTACCGAAAAATGGAGACTATAATAAAGGTTTAATTTGAGGGATTTAGCAAACTGGTAAATTTTTCATATTTTTTTTAAAAAAATATCTGTTAAAAAAAAAATTTACATACAGATCCTGGAGACCTTTTATCTTGCGTATTTGGAGTTATCTATAAGAAATAAATAACAAGAGAAAATTAAGAACCAAATCGCTAATAAACGTAATAAAAGAAATAAGCAAATCAACAAATAATAAACTTGATACGTAAAAGCCGTACCGGTGTGAAACTTGCCGCATTAGGATTAGGTTTCCATTCAGATGCTTTTGCATTAAGTTTAAATTGTGAATTTGTCGGAGTTATAGCAGTCGTACGACCAGGAGGAAATTGTAGCGGAGCTTTATCAGCTGCAGATATAGATTTATCAGAACTCTTATCGTTTGTTGACTTAGATTCTGTTGAATCTCCGTTTGTTTTATGAGATTTATCCTCTTCAATTTTGATTTCTGGTTTTCGAGATTCTGATTTTGGTTCCAGATTTTGAGCAAGGGTAACCTTTTCTTTAGGTTTATTGTCTTTTTCCTTAAGTTTATCCTTTTCCTTTTCTTTTTCCTTTTCTAGTTGTTTTTCCTTCGCTTTCTCCTTATCCTGCGGTTTTTCCTTTTCCTTTTCCTTATCTCTCTGCTTCTCAGAATCTTTCTCTTTTCCCTTTTCATTCAAAGCAGCAACAGATTTGGCTGCAAGTTGTTGTCGTTTGGACTCATCTTTCGTCAATATAGGAATAAGATCTTGTGGCAACGGTGAATTCAACTAAAATAATAACATTAAGAATTAAAGGTCGAATTATTTATAATTTATTCAAATATTTAATAAACTAACCTTAAAGGTTTGACCCCACTTGAGTAATTCCGCCATCTTTCCATCCATTTCCTTTCTAGCTATTGCTTGCTTCCTTTGTTGTAAACGTTCTTTCTCATTTGTAGCAAACTGCCTGAATGTCGTGACAATTTGCGCTAGGAAATTTTGATGAAATTATAGAATCAGCCAATGAAATCTTATATTAACAAATAAATACATACATAATTAACTTAAATACCTTCGATAGGTTTACCCTCCGCATCAATACCGATTTTCTAGAAATGAAACAATTGAATTTATAAAATTTATTGTAAAACTTGATATTCAATATTTATAATAACTTACCTTCGGCGTGTGTGAATTAAGCAAAGCAGCAACTGGTTCAGGAATACGGAACTGTTGCAATGACGAATTTGACGAAAATGTGGGAACTTTTTGTGAAGAAGTAACTGCTGAGGATATTGCGGTAGTAGCATTCGTCGTTGTCGTTGTCGTCGTCGGAGTAGGCGTCGGCGTCGTCGTCGTTGGTGGTTGTGTTTGCTTTACGGGTTTAGTCTCGATCTCAGGATTTATAATAACTTCTTTGGCAGGTTCCTTGCTTGGCTCAGATTTTTTGGCAGCAGGAGATGATCCAGTCTGTTGTAAATGTTGTTCTTGTAATTTTCGTAATTGTGGCGGCATATATTTGCTCGGATCGCGACTTCGAACAACTGCACCATATCTAGCAATAGTTTAAATAAATAAAATGATGATAATACTGTAATTGTAAAAATATTCTTATTGATAAAAAAATTTTTCTAACCTTTCTTCTTCATCCATTTGGGTTTCCTCTACAATAAAGCCACGTTCTTCGAGCATGTGAACATTTGTTGTAGACGACTATTAAAAATATTTTTTTTAAAAAAAAAAATAAGAATTCATAATTAAAATAACTTATTTATTATGACAATTATCTATTATAAATTACAAGGTAATATTAAATACCCTTGTGATTTCGTTTGCTATGGCGATGGCTTGACGTTCCCGTTCTTTAAAATCAGCCCTTGACCGGTCTAACTTTGTAGTATATATTTCTTCGTTAAAATCTGTCTTTATACCAAATAATTGTTCATTTGCTGCAAACTGATCCCAAGACACATTGCTTGACTCTTGGTTTATATCGTCCGTGTGAAGGAATTAAGAAACAATAAACCAATGAAATAAAGATATAACGAAAAATTAAAAATCAAGTAAATTAAAAAAAGGATATTCTAAGCCCTTCATTATCTCTCCTGAATCATCTGGAGTCCATTTGCGTAATTCACGTTCTCGTAACTCTGCTCGACCACTGATATCTGTATCAATCCTAAAACCAGCTCCTGATCCTGTCATAAAATGTGTAAATAATTATTTTATAATATTTTTACAAAAAAATATATATTTCTGTAATTTGAATACCTTCACGCTCTGACAACATTTTGTCACATGCAGAAAAATCAACCTCGCATGCATGAATTTCCATTAAGTCTTTTGCCATTATAATGTATGTCGGTATAACACGATTCTGTACAGTCTTTTCTTCAACTTTCGTCAACACTTTACGAGCCATTTTTAATACAACACCTAATTCTCCATTCGTACTAGCCGTTTTTAATAACCCTTGATATTTTGCTCCATTTTTAACTGTTACTAAAACATTCATACCCTAGATTAAATTAAATAAATAATGATTATTAAATATTCTAACTGATATAATCTTAATAGCTACATAAGTTTTGTCAATTAAATTTAAAATAACCACATACAATAAAGTTTACAAGTAAAAACATTAAACGATCATGCATATGCTCGGAGGAAACTTCGTCGTGTACCGTTTGCTCAACGGGTTTAATATTGTTTTGTCCCGACGATATTAGAGTATTATTATTATGATGGTGATTGTTTACAGTTGGTTGTGCTTGTGAAGGAATAGGATGATTTCTCGGTGGCATATTGACAGGATGTTGATTATTATTATTATTATTGTTATTATTGTTCCATTTTTTTGGATTTCGATTATTGTGACTAATTAAATAAATAAGCTTTTGTTAATTTTTTGTGCTAATTGAATTCATTGTTTTCTTACTTAACTGCGCGTAAAATCGTGAAAAGCACGCGCTTAAAGTAATCTTATACGACATTACAAACCTTGGATTCGAATTTGAAAAGGATTGATAACTGTCTTGTCTTCGTCCTCCTTTTGGTCTGATTGCAGCAGAAGACATAATTATGTTTTGTTTTGCCTTATTAAAGGTATATTACGAGAGAGGAGAGTTTTTTAAAGAGCTTGAGCAAACAAATTTACTCATTTAATTCCAGAAACTAAAGGAATCTAAAAGTAGATGGAATAAGTTTACTATTTATAAACAAAATTATCGTTATTCAAAATTTAGAATAATTCAAGATCTTTTTTTTTAAAAAGAAAGATATTTTATTATCCCAAAACTTATTATAAGTTTGAACTCAGAAATGGTTCAACAGGGTTAAAATGTGTAAAGTTGAGATTTTTATTTGAAAAACTTTTTAAAAATTAAGGAATAGGAATTATAAAGGGGTAATAATAAACTTTGAGGCTTTTTTTTTTTTTGTTTTGATAATATGTATTACGTATTGTAATCGCACGTGATAAGTTGTTTAGATTCTTATTGGTTATTTAAATGATCGTCCTTTCTATCAATTTGAACTTCCAGGGTTCAAATAAGACCTTCTCCGATTTGTTCCTTTTTAGTCCAAAATCGGTATTAAAAAAAAAATTGTATATTTTAATCATTTTTTTTATAAAAATAATCTATATAAAAAAGTATGGAGTTTAGTATTTATATGTATTTTTGACCTTTGATTATATAAAATAGTTTAATTATTAACTTATTTCTAATTGTTTTATTATTTTCTTATAATAATATATATATTAAAATTTTTTATTTATAATAAATTATATATAGCATATTATTATCAGTATTTTTCTTAACCTATATTTATTATATTTATTTAACTGCAATTGTTATAACAAACTTATAATTAAACTTTATAACTTAAATTTTTTTTATTCAAAGTATTTTTTCTAAGCATTTGCAATTTTTTATAGTAAACTTATAATTTAATTAAATTTTTATTTAATAAAAATATATAGTAATTAATTTATTATCATTTTATATAATAAATTATTAAATAAGGAATACAAATAAAAAGTATTTATTATATAATTTGAATTAAAACTTATATTCAAGTTTTATATTTATATTTAAGTTAATTTTATAATTTAAGTAAAAAAAAACTATTTTATTTATATAAAATTAATTTATTATAATTATTATATAAAATATAATTAAAAATAAAAGAAATAGAAAAATATGAAAAATTAAATAAATTAACTCAGGTATATATAACTAGAAAAGTTAGAATATTTATGAATATGAAAATGTTTTCAGTAAAATTAAATCATAAGGTATAGTAAATTATATAATCTGTAATGTAATTTTACTAAAAATGTTTTTATATATTAAAAATAATTTTAAATTTTAAGATTATATTGATTATTTTATTAATTTAAATTAAAATAAATTAGTAATTATTAGATTACAACTAGTGATACCTGACTAAAGATGGGAAATGTAATTAATATGTTGCAACTTTTAATGTTGCAACTTATGTTGCAATTAGTTTTAACCTATATATGTTGCAACTTAT